CTGTTTTGCGGGGTGGTGGTCCCCGCGCCAGCCAGTGGGGGTTACCCCAGAGCCAGCAGCATAGAAACCAGCCAGGTACCCCCACTACGTCACAGCCCGGCAAGATGCAAATGAAGCCCGGGATATTTAAATCCCGGGCTTCATTTGCAACTTCGATTGACTACCTTAACCACCCTAGTTCAAACTATGGTGGTAGTGTAGACATGCCCCAATCAGCCCCAGGCTCCGTCTACACTGGCGTGATCTTGCGCAAAACCTCTTTAGCGCAAGAGTTCTTGTGTTAAAGTATTTGTGCAAGAGAGCGTCTACACTGGCCTCTTGCGCAAGAACCGTTGCGTAGAAGGGCTTCTTCCTGAGCGGGAGCGTCAGAGTTCAGCGTTTCAGACAGTAGAACGTCCGTGTACTTGCACAAGAACACGCGGCAAGTTTAGACAGGCAGCAAGTGTTTGCGCAAGATCGCGCCAATGTAGACACAGCCCTATTGTCCATGGAGCCTTGCTAATTAGCATAGCCATTGGCTGAGCATTCCTTGCCCAGTGCTCAGTCACAGACCGAGAATTGTCCAGAGAGTCCATGCTCCTAACTCCACATACAGATATTACACCGCTACACGAATAGCACACACAGAATCAGTAGAACAGGAGCTTTCCTGTGACACCTCACATGACCCTCTTTGTATCTACTTTGGGGCAAACACCCCCCCCCCATGGGTGCAGCAACGATCTGGCTACTCCCCTTAAAACCCAGTCATGGGACAGGCTGTTCCTCGCTCAGCCCAGCCTGCACTGAGACGTGCCAGGAAGAGCTTTTCGGGGCGAGAATGGTCCTGTGAGCCTGTCCCCGCTGCTGGGAAAGGGGGCTGGTCACAAGGGAAAGTTTCCCAAACCCGAACAGCAGCCCTTGGGTTAGAAAGCGAATCGGCTGTAAGCGTGTGAGGCCAGAGAGCGGGCGCAGCCCTCCCCCGGCGGGGAGACGTGAGGCCAGACGGGGATCCCCCTCGGAACTTCTCAAAGCACTGGGATGGGGCAGAATAATTTCATGTCAAGTGAATTCACTGGAAAATGAGAAAACTCCCCCCCCCCCCGTATTAACAGCAGCCCTTGGGTTAGAAAGCGAATCGGCTGTAAGCGTGTGAGGCCAGAGAGCGGGCGCAGCCCTCCCCCGGCGGGGAGACGTGAGGCCAGACGGGGATCCCCCTCGGAACTTCTCAAAGCACTGGGATGGGGCAGAATAATTTCATGTCAAGTGAATTCACTGGAAAATGAGAAAACTCCCCCCCCCCCCGTATTTAGGGTTCATGCGAGGACAGGAAAGCACTGTTCGGTTGTGACAGGCCAGGCCCTGGCTCGCTGTGCAGCAGGGGGGCAGGCTGG